TCATTGTAAGTGGATAGTGTTGGCACCAAGGGTAAAATACTATCATTGTAAGTGGATAGTGTTGGCACCAAGGGTAAAATACTATCATTGTAAGTGGATAGTGTTGGCACTAAGGGTAAAATACTATCATTGTAAGTGGATAATGTTGACACCAAGGGTAAAATACTATCATTGTAAGTGGATAGTGTTGGCACTAAGGTGAAAAAAAAAACCCCATATCAACTGGACATTGGCGTAGCAAGGTACGAAACTATCATATCAACGTGTTACTGTTGTTATGAAGTGTTAAGTTAATACCATATCAAAGTGGTATTGTTAGTACCAAGGTAATGAAACATGGTACTATTGGTAGAAAAAGGTAAATAAATACCAAAGTGTTTGGTGTATGTAGTTGGTTTTACAAAATTGGTGAGGGAAAAACCTTTTGGTAGAATTCGAACATTGATATTTAACAATTATCCACCCTAGAATTACTAGGGAACATTTTCAATCTGTAATCTGCTTGGAACAGTCAGAGGAAATAACAATATACGTTCCCTCTTTTATTTCTTTAAATCTAAAACAGAATATTGGATTCAAGGCCTTGTAAACGTATCACCACTAGCCAGCCAGTGACTAAAACTGAATATTCAAACACACCGCCAAAAATTACTATTAATATAATTGCCAAATAGCTTAAGTTAACAATAACAATACAGGAAAAAGCTACAACCAACAAATGTATAGTGTTAAGCTGTACATATAACTTCGTTCCATTGACCTAGTTTTATTGATGACTCTCCAAGCCGATGCAGTGTATTTGCCAAGCGTCACCAGGAAAAAACCTGTAATAATATTAGATCTGGCACAGTTTGATTTACAACTTAACAACAGAACGTGAAACCTTCACACCCTTTTATTTTATTATTTATTGAATTCTGTTGAGTATTTATTCTATTATTTGTTGGAAACTAACAAAAATGTTCTCCGTTTCGTGTCTGTATGTCAGCCTTCATGTAAAGTATAGTTTACTTCTAATGATTGCATTTATTCACTACAAAATGAAGGGTCAGAAATATCGTCGACTATACTGTAATATGATGTGGGTTCTGTAGATGACTAGCCTGTTTAGTGATGTAATAAAACTTAATTTTTGAGATAGTTTTATTATGGTTTTCACTTGTTTAGTGGTTATCGTGCCTGACCACGGATCAGAGTTCGAGCCTGTGATATGCCATGAACACGCTCCGGTCCTTCAGATTTGAGCGCGTTATAAAAGTGAGAGTCAATCTCGTTATCGACAGTTGCTGTTGAATAGGTTTTCAATCTCTAATTGGAAGTTATAATATAGAGTCTAAGAGGATAGGTCAAAGTCCACAAGACTCGGACTTGGTTTGGGTAATAAGAGGATAGGTCAAAGTCCACAAGACTCGGACTTGGTTGACTCTAAATTATAACTTCCAATTAGGTAATAAATGGGTTATGTCACTCAGATTGAAAATACCATATCTTTCTTTTTTAGCAAACTTCTCACGGATGATAAAGTTAAAACATTAAACCGATTTGAGATTTTTTAAACTTTTTTTATTGGTATAAAAAGCGCTAGAAAATAGAACTTGTAGAGATTTTCCTGGAAGTTAAAGAATTCAAAATGGTGACGAGTTGTCTGAAAGTACAGATATATTTGTCTTTAATTAGTGGAATAAGCTTTATATGAATTTAAAACAATTTCTTTTAATAATCATGTATGGTTTTTAAAAATTACATCGCTTTTCATCTTAGTCAGAAATACAAGAGAAAAATATTTTGAAAATACATCAATAATGCATGGTTGACTCACAGTAGCCATCTTTAAGACTGATGGGAATAATTGGCAACAGAGGACTACTATACGCATACGGCTTTGAGGTCTTGGCAGAGATTTTGGGCGTTAAGCCAATGTGTAATAGATTGTAGTGGACGATGTTTATCAGCAGGCCAATATCTTTAGGCTGTGGTGAAAGTTTCCGGTTGGCAGGCCAATGTTTCTAGACTGTGATGAAAGTTTCCTGTTGGCAGGCCAATGTGTTTAGGCCGTTGTTGAGGCCAGTATGGTCAGGCTGTGGTGGAGTTTTCCGGTTGGCAGGCCAATGTTTCTAGACTGTGATGAAAGTTTCCGGTTGGCAGGCCAATGTTTCTAGGCCGCGATGAAAGTTTCCGGTTGGCAGGCCAATGTTTCTAGGCCGTGATGAACGTTTCCTGCTGGCAGGCCAATGTTTCTAGGCCGTGATGAACGTTTCCTGCTGGCAGGCCAATGTTTCTAGGCCGTGATGAACGTTTCCTGCTGGCAGGCCAATGTTTCTAGGCCGTGATGAAAGTTTCCTGTTGGCAGGTCCATGTTTCTAGGCCGTGATGAAAGTTTCCTGTTGGCAGGTCCATGTGGTAGGAGGCTTTTGATCAATAGATAATTGCGTTTCATCAATAGTTCTAATTGTACAATACGTTCGTTATACGACTTCTTCCAAAAT